ACAATATACAAATCTCTAATTCATTATTCTACTCATTCCTTATTACAGTATCTGCATATCAAATTGATTTATTGCTAACCAATATCTATACAAAGTAATAGTAGGTTTTTTAGTTTTAAAGGATTTAGCAAGTTGTTCTAATATCTCAGGTTTCAGATGCTGAAAACGCTGCTGGTCCAAACAATGTTGCTAACAAATGTTGTAGCTGTAAATATTGCCATTGGGTTACATCTAATAGATATTTTTCTCTTAAGAAAGAGTACGTTAAAATTCATCTTCTTCATCTATCAGTTAGTCCAAAGTCAATATCTCCGCTTGCATCCAACTTTTCCATATTACCATTTTTCCCCCAATCTTTAAAGTTGGGTTTCCCCATAAAGTCAATTTGGCATGGGAAAAAGGGTCAAATCTTTTTTTATTAGACATTATGTTCCATAGCTTTCTAACTGATGAAATTGTTTCCAGAGATATTAGAGTTTTAATATATTTAAACTATCTAATACTGTCCATCTGACCAAAGGTGTTACATATGTATATTACAAAGTTGCCCAAATTAGAAAATTAACACCACTTGTTGACTTCCAGTATTTAATACTTGACAATAGGTAAGAATGATGTGAATGAAACTCCAGATTTAGAAAAGTGAATCCTCCCTCATTAATTGATAAATGCATTTTCTGTAAAGGTATTCTCAGAACTGAAGAACCCCATAGAAATTTTCTAAACGAAGAATTTATTTTCTGAAAATATTTTCCAGATATAAAAACTGGAATTCCTCTCAGAATATTAATCTGGGAATAATGTTCATTTTCAGAATGTTCACCTTTCTCAAAAGGGTGAGGTTCAAGGACTCCCATCTACTGATATCTGAAGAAACCTCTCTCTATATTTTATTTATATTATTTTTATATCAAATTTGTCACTGCCCATCTCGTTGAAACGACTCTGGGCAGTTTACAAAACAGTTAAAATCAATTAAAATTACAAAATTACAATCTACTATTAATAAATAGAAAATAGATCCAAGAATAATTGGCAGTCACTCAGGGAACATCATCAAGGCGCTAGCCACCCCCAGGATTGGGTAAGATTGTTATCACCCCATGCAAGCTGGCAGAGCCAGGTCTTTAATCCTTTCCGGAAGGCCAAGGGGGTATGGGCCTGCCACACCTCTGGGGGGAAAATGTTCCAAAGGGCAGTGAAGGCTCTCCTCCTGGGCCCCGCAAGCCCATTATATGTCGCTGAGTTATATCCTTTGGTATACATATATCTAAATATTTAGAAACCACTAATTATGATTAAGCAGCACAGTCTGAAACTGAATTGAATCTTTTTCATTCACTCAGGTCTTATCTTTTTTTCCACTAATTTGATTCCACATAATAATTTCCAGCAGCTTAAACCATGGTATGTAGTTACATGTTTAATGTAAATGCAATACTAACTTATTCAGTGTGTACTGGAAACTAATAATTTCTTCATGGTCCTTTTTAAAACTTCTTAATCTCTAGGCTGTGGCATTTCTTAATTGTTCTTAATGGCTGATTTTCTCTTTCCAGCTAGATCAGTTGTGCAGTACTACTGACAGTGGTATCAGAAAAGGAAGTGGGGAAGAGTGGAATTTTGGTTTCAAAGGATGGAATATGTTGATTCGCATATATTGCTGCTTGGATCAGAACCAATGCTTTTATTTATTAATCATATTATATTTATTAATCATATTTATATAGCCGCCCATCTCACACAAGGTGACTTTTCCCATAATACCTATAGAAAGCATTCTTCCCACTCTTTTTCCAGAGTTGGAGAGAAGACCCAGTATATCCTATGGCTTCTGGGAAGGCATTCTAGTTGATTGCAACAAAGCAATATTAAAGAATCCTACTCTGGAAGCAAGCCTAAATCTAACTACTTTAGATCGCTAATGTCAACAGAAATAAATCATGTTAACCACTGTGGTTCACAGATCATTCCTCTCATGTATCTTGATTTTTTTTTTTTTTTTTGGCTTCAGATCTGAATAACCATAGTAGTGCTCTACAGAATTACTTATAGGATTCAGAAGACAAGAGCTTTAGCGATCCATTCCTATGAAGAGTTCAGGTATGCCCAAAGTTATTACTTCAGAAACTCAGACACAAAGAAAACCTGAATACAGAATTTTTAATACAATCTGGATTATTCCATACCTTGTTAAATACCTCTTTGCTAACAAAATCTGTATTCCATAAATCCTGTCTCTCCTTCTGTCTTAATACTTCCTCCTTCCGCCGCCATTCTTCTTCTCTCCATCTCAATTCATCAATTTCTGTTTGTGCTTTGGCATGTTCTTGATCCAGGGATTCTGAATTGTGTAATGCTAAACTTCCAAGTTTTTGCTGGGCTTCTGCTAAATTCCATTTGCATTCTACAGAACTCTTTACAAATTCTTTTTGCTGTTGGCAAGCCAGTTCAATTCCATCATTATAAGTCTGCAAATTAATGCTTCCATTATTATTTGGCAATAAGACAGGCAGAAATATATAAAACTTGGAGATAAATGAACTAATTTTATTTATTTATTTATTTATTTATTTATATATCACATTCATATAGCCACACATCTCACACAAAGCAACTCTGGGTGGTATACAACGATCTTAATTCTTAAGATTTCTTAAGAGATTGCATACAAAACAGTTACATGGTCCGAGCAGATGAGACTCAGTAAAATATATGGATGTATTTAAGTCTATCCTATCTCCGGCCACTCCCTATTCCCATACTCATATGTATGTGTCCATGCACAGCATGATCAGGTTCTTATTACTACTTCAATAGTGGTTCCCAATGTCTCATTACATGTACTTAGTTGCTATGTACATATTCTAATAAAGGTACCATGTTACATTTTCTTTATTTTATCACATAATTAAGAGTCACTCAAGAGCCCTGTGCTAGTCAATATAATAAATATTTTTGAACTTATAGAATGATAGTCAGTGAAGGGTGGGATTTACTTGGGCTCTTTAAATCATTTTGACAAACTGAACTCATTCCACACAGTGCTGAGCTTTGTTCACAGGAAGGAATTACAATAATGTTCATTTGAAAAAAAATGCCTTCAAGGGCTTCATACCCTATTTCATTTTAATACATACGCTTGCACTGTTTCTAAATACAAGGCAGCTAAAGGATGTGAAAATTTATGAAAAGGTAACAGTGTCAAGCTAAATGCCTCAGGCAATGAAGAACCTTTCCCTACTTGGCACAAACATATTCTGACAACATATTTTTCTGGCATGTTCCCAGGATGTTACTTTCATTAGTCCCTAACCATGAGTGAGGTAAGCTTAAATTGTCCTTAGCTGTGTTAATAATGGTATTTTTTTTCCTCTTAGTCCAAAGGCACCTATACAATCTATAGCATTTGTGGGGTGTTGTCATCATTACCTTGGAGGGAAATCAGATGACTACAGTGACTTGAAACAGAGGCAGGATAGAAATTGTCAATGGAGACAGCATATTTCATGCCAGTATAGTTTTCTGCCAGTTCAAGGGAGATGGGCTAACACTTTAACTTAGCAGTGGAAAAGACCCTTGCACTGCAATCATGGACTTCTCTACTTAGAAGAAAGTTGAATAGCACTATTCTGTGAAAATTAGATTATAGCCTCAAGATGCAATTTTCACACTTATCTGAAAGTAGATCCAGTACAAACAAACATATACAGGGATAGTTTGCATGATACACTTACTAAGTCTCACTGCCTACATAGGGTATGCAAACAGGAACAGAATTGGATAGTATGAATTTTCTCAGGGGCACTTTATTCCAACAGATTATTGGAAAATTAGTACAGATATTTCTACAATATCTATACAGAACAATTATGGGGAATTTCCTGTGAGCGACTGATGCCTCACAAGGATGAGAAGTACGAATTCTTTTCATTAAGCCAAGTCCATTTAATGATAGGTTAACATTGAAATGCCCGAGATAGATAGATAGATAGATAGATAGATAGATAGATAGATAGATAGATAGATAGATAGATAGGAAGGAAGGAAGGAAGGA